ACACACACACACACACACACACACACACACACACACACACACACACACACACACACACACTCGCTCTACACACACACACACAGACACACATACACAGATGCATACACATGCCCATGCACACGTAGACACATGCACGTGCACGTGTCCACACGAACATGCATGCGTGCCCGCATGAGCACACATAGACACTCCCGCACACCCACACCTCTCCACACATACACAGAAGCAGAGAACAGGCGGAAAAAAAAAAAAAAAAAAAAAAAAAAAAAAAAAAAAAAAAAAGCACAGAGAAAGAATTGGCAGGGGAGGGAAAGAGCACACTACTCTAAACTCGAACCCTAAAACTCCAGCTTGGAGCAAGAAAGGAGCCACTGATGGAAGGAAAGTTGCAAAGCTCCGACAACAACGAGAGTGTAAGCGATAGAGACAAGACCACTCAACTTTCAAACTAAGAAAGGAGGCACGCGAATCCTAAACCATCTTGGTACTGTGATTTTCATAAGGCAAATTGGATGGATAGTGTAATGAGATCATTGTCACGCAACGCAATAAGATAATCAGGGCAGAGTCAGCAGACATAAATCACTTTAGATTATGATCTTATTATAGCATAAACATATTAAACAAGGCAGTTGGAAAGAACCTAACCTAGAAGCACGACAACATGCAGCTGCAATACAAGAATGAAGCTCAGACTCAGAGAACTGTAGTAAGAGGAGGTAAGTAAACATCAAGGTGGCAGAAAAGATGGACACAAAAAACACACACAGGGAAGGGAGAAGTAGGTGGTTACCCCATGTGATATGCACAGATGAATTCAACCTGTGAATCAAGGAGCAGCCACTTCTCATACCTTCCTATACAATTGGACAAAAAACTTCCGGCAATCCCCTCCTTCCTAAGCTTCTCTCCGAGGGCCGAACTTGCAGTCCGATTAGCGAATCCCCCCCATCTTGCGAATCTCGTGAACCTCCCCCGCGTAGCGCTCAAGCGCTTAAAGACAGGTCACCTAGACATCGCGAATGTCTGAAAAACATCGAGCCTCTTCCCTCTGTTCAGTGGGTCTTCAGCAACCATCGCCAGCTACGTGCTACCTCTCTTGAGTGCGACCATCTCATGTTGGTCTCCTCCTTACGCCATCGATTCTCATCATCGCCTACCACATTCGACGGCCGCAATATCGCGACTGATTCAGGCAGTGGCCATCTACCCCTCCACTCTCTAAAATTTTTGCCGGCTGTGGGTGCGTCTTCGTCTCCCAACTAATCACCGTTTAACACGACAACCTCAACCCCCACCCCCCCTCACACTCATATCCCCTTACTCTGCGGTTACAACGCCACCTGCTGTTTCGTGCACCGCTGCTATTGCTCCCCGACCAACCCCAACCCCGTCCCCCCGCCCTCCCTCCCTCCCTCCCTCCCTCCCGCCCTCCCGCCTTCCTGCTCTCTCCCATTGCATGTGGCTGTCACACACTGTAAGTGAACCTGGCACGCTTGCCGTTCTCCACAGGTCCTGTGTACATTTTCTTTCCGATTCGTTTAGCCTGGACCACCGCCTATGGCATTGCTGAGCTTGTCGGCCTTGATGACTCGCCGCCCGCGCCGACGAATTGCTGAACTATGTTTAGGCTCCAATGGAACAAACAATATACAAATGGGTTGGTTATACAGGTCTATCAGCTTAATATAATGCATTCAAGACGCCATGCTCAGGGGTTACAGAAGAACTGCTGCCATTGGCACCATCAAACTCCACAGTTCCTTTCTTCACGACTTTTCTGGTGATCGCTCCCCCCTCCTCACCTTTCTCCACCCCCATTGGCCCCTTTCTTGCAGATGCAGCTGCAGTGCAGATCACACACCGAAGCTCCGCCTCCTGCTGCTGCCCTCCTCCGTTCCTTCCTTTTTCTACGCCCTCATCCTCGGTGCCTTTTCCTGCCCATCGCCTCGCCCTTTCTGAAAGCGAAAGTGGAAGCGGTGCAGAAGCTGCCGAAGCCTGCACAGGTGGAGCAATGCTGCTTCTCAGCTCATTAAGACAAGGAAGATGATACGCATGGGCACAGAAGAACACGACGATCGGCGTTGCACGACTTGACACAGGGTCCAAACAGACACAGCACAGGCCGCTTCCACCCATTTGTCTGTGTGTCGACAAGGCACTCGCTGCCACGCCGGTCACACCGTCGTTTGCTGGGTTACTTGTCCCTGGCAAGCAGTTGCTGCCTGTGCTATTCGTTCCTGTCGTCAACGGATCTGCGCTAGCACCAACCCTCTTCGACTCTTGCCGGTCTAAATTAGGTGAACTCCTGGTCATATCTGATCCTTCCTCTCCGACACGTATCGCATGCCTTGCTTCATTGAAGTACTTGATGAGCAATGTCACACAGTCAGCCTGCATTGGAGTTCGCGGCAAAAAGGGTTACACCGCAACAAAAGCGATCACACACAGTCAGCCTAGACTGGAATGACAGTATGTATCCCCCGCATACGGGGACCAGTGTCACCTGGAAATGACAAGTCCCACATTCGAGTGACGGTGAACGGGACGACACTTGAGCAGCAATGCCACATGGTCAGCCTAAGCTGGAGTGACATAATGAGGGCCCAAGACAGAGACGTCCGAACATTCAGCAATGCAACATAGTAAAGCCTGCACTGATTAGACTGTTAGGATGACACACGTACTGTGCCGTACATACAGCAGCAGTGAGAGCGTGAGACAGGGAGTAACCCACAGTTTTGCCGGAGAGTGTGGTGGGAGGGCACGCCTGAAAAAAATGAACCGGCGGTTTTTCTTTTTTAGCTGGCGCTGCCAGCCATTCATTTCACTTAAGGCTGTGCCCCAGCGAGTGCACGGCCGCGTCGCAGAAAAAAATGGCTGGAGAAAGTACTGGTGGTTCAAAGGGGACAAAATTGTAAATCTTTAATCTTGAAAATTTCGTTTCGCTTCTGAACTGGGATGCTTTGGGATCCACTGGGGCCTCTGTCTGCAATTTTGGGTGAGGGCCACAGGCAAGCGTAGGACTTGAACCTTGGCCTAATATACAGACAGACGGACAAAAGCACGACAGAGTAGCATACAGGTGGAAAATGGCGGGAACTCGGTAAAGATTCTCCAGCAACTTGGAGAGCCCCCATCTCTGGTAGACTTAGAAGGAGATGTAATGATAGTAGCTGACTGAATGCAGACCGGCCTGACGTTAGGTACATCTGGCTCCAAGGGAGACTTCTCTCTCTCTCTCTCTCTTTCTCTCCCAACCTTCATCTTTGTGCTGCAATTCATATACTTCGTTTCAAACATGAGTACTGCGTCACGATTTGAACTTAGGTCCATAGCCTCATTGGCATCCAGATCAATCTCAGCCATCGGATTGACAGCTCATACCATTGGTACCCAGAACGGCCACCACCATTGGATAGACAGCTTGTACTTTTCTTCTTTTTTCTTTTTTACCATCGGTCCGCAGAACAAAAACAATCAGAGCTATCTGATAGACAGGGCATCAGAATACAAAGGTTGACGAGAGCCATCGGATGACAGTTGAACTGGAGATCGTCCTCCAATTTGACGGTGGTCCTAAAGAAACTTACGTTTTCGGTCTAGAGTCGGAGACCTTCAGTGTGTAGTCTCCAAGTTACTTTAGGCTGGTCTGCAAATGAGCGTCTTTTATTTTATTCGGAGACTTTAACATCAATAATAATGTTATTTTTGGGCTGGTCTGCAAATGAGCATGGTGAAGGTTGGTCATACCACCATAGTGACGGTGCCAGACACAAGGTCGAAGGCCGTCTGGGTGAGCCGTCTGACGCAAGTGATGAGTCACTGAAGACCGGATCAAGATGAAGAAGGTCATTCACACAAAAAGCAATTGGCCATAGGGTAGCAAAGCAAAGCAGCTAAAAGAGAGAAAAAGGAAAACGAAACCAGAACCGGTCGCCAAAGAAAGGGCGGGCGTACCCACACTACCGTCTTCCCCCGAACATAACGCACCCTGAAAATGAACGAATAGAAGGTATGCTTGCGGCCCGATACAGTCAAAATTAGGGTGCATTCCATTCGGGTGAAGACGGTAGTACTTTTCGAGATGTGTTCTGACTGCAATAACAGCCGACTCTGGATGTGACTCCACAGGTGAGCCAAAAAAAGGGCCTCGTCACCCCGGCGTGAGTATGCTCTAAAAAAGGATGCACATTTCTCATGAAAAAAAAACACTGACAGCTACAGTATACACACAGCAATCTGCCACACAAGGCCAGTAGCAGTGAGGTACACCACCTATCACTCCTTTCTCCTCTTTTTTCCCCACCTATCACTTGTTCATTTCGATGTAACAAACATATGCCAAAATGGGACCATTAACCCCATTCGACTGTCCAGTTTTCTGCACGGAACACACACACACACACACACACACACACACACACACACACATCATCATCACAGACATACTTTCACACATGCACACACACACACGCTCGGGGGGAGGGGACGAGATTCACATCTGTGTCGGAAACCAGATAATAAAAGGGGCTTATGACCCAGCCCCGGTTGGATGTACACATACTGTGATGCATTGCCAGTCATACCTTGACCTTACCTTTAGTATGTCATTGCACCCTTGACGGAGAGACATCTCCGTCCCATAATCCGTGATGATTTTCACCAGCCTATCTCGCAACCTGGGTCGCACAGACAAGGCGCAATACGAGCCATAAGGAATTCGAAATGAGAACCACAGAAACCTGAGCCCTACACCGACGGCAGCACGACTTCCGATTACCTAATGGCAACTGGCCTAGCTCAGTTGGTACACACGGCCTAGTAGCTCAGAGTCGGTACACCCCTGAACGAACTGTTGAAATACAGACTTGAGTTCGAAGCCCACTGGATGCAGATGAGTAAAATGCTACAATTCTGAAAAATCTGGCGCCAGTGAGTTCGTTAATAATATCTTGAGGTCGTCGCCCTTTTTGCTTTGTTCTCTTTTTGCTTATTCAAATACGACTCCCAATCCAGAAGAATGAACATCGTGCTTGTCATGCATGCTCCATACGTGTTCAGTTTGGCACTCCCGTACTCACATGAACTGCTGACTACGAAGAGACCGAGCTACCAGGCACACATGCAGTGGAACACTAACTCGTGACACTGTTACAGTTTTTTTTTTTTTTTAATTTTTGCAATCAGACTCGTTTTCTTTTCCACTTCGCATACATGCAAACAGACGGCGATTCACGCTGGCGCAGAGTGCCCACTCGAAGCTCAGAGATATGGACAACGAGAACACAGTTCAGTTGCAAATTCACTTCAACAGGCTATGGGGCACCAGCGCCTGTACATCGCACTCTCGTCACTGTGTCCGACACCATTGCTTGCACATGCTCACTCTGGATCACCCTGGTTTCAATCTTTCTTGTTTTATAGTACGTGTGATAAATTGAGAAGCGGCTTGTTTCATTTCATGCGTTGACAACATCTAAAAAAACAACAAACAAAATGAAATTGTATATAATTGGCATTTTAGCCAAAATACTTGGAATAATAATACCACTTTTACTAGGAGTTGCTTCTCCACACACGCACACTCTCCCATCTACCTCTACCCTACGGCGGCTATGGCAGCTCGAAACCTACTACTATGGCTACTATGTCTCCCTTCAGCCCACTTCTACCTCAGACAACCTGCAGACCACCTTCGCACAAGACGCTGTAGTAGCGCTTCCGCATGGCTTACGCAGCGAATGAATGTATGGCTGAGCGCTGCCTCTTGATTTATACTTCTGTAACTCGTTGGTCTGCCCCTTTCCATCGGCCCATGGTACACACAGTCCCTCGTGGTACTTGCTGGACTGGGACTGGGACTGACTGGGACCGGTACCGCTGACTGCATGGGTTTGCACTGCCAACTCGATGCAGTCGCACTGCCGACGTAAAGCAGTTGGGCTCACCACTTGCCCACTTGCCTCTGTCTAAACGTGAGACAAACTTCGAAAGGCTGCTTCCGGAACTTCCGGAAGTCTGTGGGCTTGGACTTTCGGGTACTGTAGCAGCTACGACCTTGACCTTGGCTGTAGCAGCTACGACCTTGACCTTTCAGAATGCCTATAGCTACGACCTCTACAAAGCTGTGACCCCTACTCCACAGACCTACAGATCGAATCCCTACATCTACACAGTCCTGCGACAGACTGACAACAACTAACGAAACACAGGTCACGGGTTCAAACACTCGTGGGTCAACTCGATACTGTACATGGGTTAGGTAAGGTCTGGGGATCGAACCCTGGAATCTGCATCTGCCTCTGCAAAGGTGAAAACCGTTTCATTTTCCTTGCTGTCTCACAAAAACAAACAAGGTGCGCTCCTTCCACACGGGACGGGTGGCTGCACGGACGGAAAGCAGCACGAAGAGAAAGGAAGAGAGATGGCTAAAAGGGCTACGTGCGCGCACGCGCCCAGCCGATCCCGTCACCCCCCTCAGAAAAAGAAAAGAAGGCCGGGGTCGAAACGGTGCGTTTGAGACCCCCCGCCAAAATTATAAGCGGGATAAAAAAAAAATTTACAGGAGTGCTGCCTCACCTTGCTCCTCCTCCCCTTCCTCATGCTCCATGTCTCCTCCTCCCTTCTCCTTTTTGTCTCCTCCGACTCGTCCTCCTCCTCCTGCCCTTCCTCCTCATCCTCCTCGTACTTCCTCATCTTCCATGCCTCCTCGTCTCCTGGCCTTCCTCGTGTCCTTCCCTTCCTCGCCGCCCATGTCCCCTCCTCCCACACGACATCCTCCTCCTGCTCTTCCTCTTCTCCCTCCGTCCATCTCTTCTCCTCCCCCCCATCTCGACGACTCCTCATCGCCGTCCTCGCTATCCTCCTCGTCCTCCTCGTCCACATCCTCCTCCTCCTCTCCATATCCCCCTCTCCTCGCCATATCCCCATCTTCCTGTCATACGCCCCCCTGTTCCCCCTCCCAAAAAAAGATAAAACAATAATAATAAAAATAAAAAACCTGCACGATTCTGCACAGGCACCCCCTGCACGGAACTCTGCACGAATGTGCGGCTCGTGCGGTTGCAAGTATGGGCTAAATGTGTGCACCGCACCTTACGCTGCATGACAGCTTCTTCAACCTTCATCCGCATATTCGATACATGCCGATTTACGATGAACATTATCTATTTAGTTGCTTAAATTATTATTTATTTATTAATTTATTTCGCACCTCGCATGACAGTTGGCCTTCGATGATCTCGATGCAAGCCCAGTGCGCTTGACAGTTTGTCCATTTTAAGTAAGTTCTAACGTGAGCACCGCGGAGACGCCGGGTGGCAAGAGGCAGCGGAGACAAGAGGTAATGAAGGGGGGTGGGAAGGAGGGAGGAGGTAAGACAACAGATGATATGGAGAATGCAGCGAGGAGGTGTTGAGGAAAGTCGACAGGTACAGATCACGTAGTCACATTCGCACTAACCTGGGGATTTCGAGTCCGGCAGGAAGCTTATTCATCAAATGCAGTGGGTCAATATTTCCAACAGTATGCTCCAGCAATGACCCCACCTGAAAGCATGAGACAATGAAAAAGGGCAAAGGATTAAACTGCAAGACATACTGGACACGAAACGCAAGACGCCACTTTTTTTCAGAGGGTACCGAAGGCGGTATTTCTTGCAGTGGCGCTCAGCCACGCGTCCCCCCCCGACGTGGGGGTGGGGTTAATAATGTCTTATTGGCCGCCTGACTTGACGGTTGGTAAACAAGAACTGTCTCCCGGCCAACGGGACATCTTGTGTCATTGGAACACAATACAGAAAAGATTAGCATGGGCTGTGAGCATGGATGACAGATAAATCGAGAAAAGTTTCAATTTTTTCTTTTTTTTTAAAGAAAAAGAAGGTAAAAAACGACCACTATTCACCAGCCTCTTTTCCCCGACACTCAATTTTGTACATGCCCGAAATTCCAAACCACCACAAGGGAAGGACCTGCAAATCATCACCGACATTTCTGGTCTGGTACGCTGAACCTTTCTGCGCTGTGCTAGCCGGAGGGGGCGTAGCTGTGAAGGATATGAGGGTACGAGGGCCCCCCATAATACCCCATTATTATCGGCCATAATGGGTGTTTTGAAATTTGAATTTTGAGCTGCTTTTTTTTTTTTTTTTTTTCCAAACTATTTGTGGTTCAAGTCACAGGGTGGCTAAAAAGAAAAGCGCAAAAAAAGAGAAAAGAAAAAAACCAAGTGACAGGAGAAGCACACCCACCGCGATGAATTCGCAATCACTCCACTGCACAGCATACCAAACGTATCGGGACATGATGATGGTACAAGTTCATTGAAGAATGCTGTGCATCATTCAGATGCCGTGAATGGCCGGTTACCAGATGCCGTGGATGATGGAGGATAGATACAATATGTTGCATGGGTCCTGGAGACCATCTCACGCAAGTGTGTACATGCCATGCATCGTTCTCCCACACACAACGAACAGTAGTCTGATAATAGACAAAG